ATTTCTGGCTAAACACGCCAGATTGTGTACTTCCAGAGGCCGAGTGGTGGTGGGGGAGAGAACGGTGTACCCTCCTAGTTGTGCGTGTGAGGGTTGAACTGCGGCCATCTGGTCCCGCCCGGTGGGAGAGGAAGATGGGGAGAGTGGGAGGAAAAGGTGGGGAGGGTGGGAAGAGACTATACCTTTACAGTAGTATAACAAAATTGTAGTAAGTACTCTTTAGTAAGCAGGGTCATTATCCCTGTGGGAGACAGACCCAGGAAGCTGGCAGAGTGAGACTAGAAGGACCAGCGTGAACAGTCTCGTCTCGGATCCACGTCAGGAGGCTGGCAAACCTGCCCCAGGCTGCCACGTATTATTGTGGGTGACCGCAAGGGTGAGGTCAATGTTCATAGCGCAAATCTTCACTATTTTCCTTGCATTTTATTTTAGTTAAGAAGGAAATTTATTAACTCTGAAGTTCATCCGGCTCATCTTTGCAGTTTTATTTCGCCTAACACTAAGAGATGCGTTTTGTTAACTCTTGTTAACATTGTCAAAGGCAGAGTTGGAATAATTACAAATTGTCTTGCTGCATGATATGTCTCCGAGGATGAGGTGACGGTGATGAGGTGCAAGGGATGAGTGCCTTTCCTTCACCTTATCCTCGGGTGAAGGGAATAAGGTGTAGGGGATGACCAACCGGCTCGTCAGAGTTGCTCGTCATTAGGTAATGGGCGCTGTCTGCTGGACAACTAGCTGTGATAGAGCTCCTATTAATGATGTCACTGACTTCACTGTGTCTCGAGTGCCAGACCCTGTGCTTTGGCAGGCCATGCTGGCCATACCTGTCAGCCATTGTCTCGCCACACACACACACCTGTATTCGGTGTCAATTTGGTCCGCAAGGCAGAAAGCCACTGCAGTTCGGAGAGCTGTGATATGAGACCCGTGCTGATTGCTGACATTGGGGTTGCTAATACCAAGCCGTGGGGGGGGGGGGGGGTTACAGCTCTAAGGTGAGCATTGTCATGTGGTGGTGTTGCAGCTTCTAGGCATGTTGCAGCCGCCGCGTCTACAATGGTGCCATCCCAGCTGGGTTGCTTGTGGGATTTAGATGGTGGTTGATGGAGAGCTGATCCTGCGACAGAGACCCATTTGGTGGCGCAGTGTATATAACTGACACCATTTATCCTACCTCTCCACGTGTCCCTGTTGACCTAAGTAATCCAGTAGGATTTCCTTCGCCAGGTTATCAGATGCCGCTGAAGAGGACGAAAGCTGGTATAGCAGTCGTGTTGTTGTATGAATACAGAGACACTTCCTCCCAAAAAATGACAGGAATTGAGATAGAGGTTATGGGGGTTTTTCTAACAATGATTTCAGCAAGCTGTCGTACTCGTCTAGCTTAAGGCTATTGAACGATGGCGAACATCTAAGAAAGTAGGTCAGCCTGGGGAGGGACAAGCGTCTGGTGATGAGGTAAAGTGCATTATGAGCAATGTCTTCAATCCTCTCATTCATCCTATTCAGGTCAGCGATCTTACCAAAGACCTCGTCGATGGCCTCTCCTTAAAGATGAGCACCTAAGAGTTTGTCTTCAAGTCCGGTTCAGTGTATATCAGGCAAAACAACCTTTATTCGCTCTATAATGTTTTTTTTTTGGGGGGGGGGGGAGTAAAGAGGAAGGAGAGGCATAGGTGAAGGGAAGTATAGAAGTGGGAAATACAGTGAGAGGTATGAAAGCAGGCGGGCTGTCCGCCTTGCTGACACGATGTGTGGGTGTTGGCAGCTAAGCTAAGCTGGCTCCCTCTTGTCAGGGAGCTGTGAGTGTGTGAGAGGTTCTTCACATGTGTTTCACCATATATGGATGTCCATAGATGAATACTGTGTAGCATTCATATATACACACTCCGATGCTTCCACACATGTTGTTCTGTTTAAGGCTCTTTATTTTATTATTATTATTTATCGAGTTGTTCATACATACATATTATTTATCGAGTTGTTCATATATACACATATATGAACTGTTCATATATACACATATATAACTCATCTGGGGATTATATACTGTGGGGCGGGGTTTTCGTCCAGAGAATCGAGGCTCTTGGGCCACCAGCTGTGGGAGCGGGGCGTCTCATCTTGGAGTAATCTTTCAAACATTGGGTCCTCTAACATTTCGATGGTGTTCCACACCCTGATGGCTTGGTGCTGCAGTCTGATGTTTAGTGGCTGTATGTTCAGGAGTTCGTGGAGCTCCTGGATTGTCTGATCATATGGTGGACGGTGTTTTGCTGCTCTCCTTAGCGCCTTATTTTGTACTGCTTGCAGTTTCTGCATGTTAGTTTTCTTTATGGTGTGTAGTGGTACTGGGGGATACTCTAGATGCGGCCGAACTAGAGCCTTATATAGGTGGATCTGAATGTTAGTACTGAGGCTTCGGAATCTTCTCAGTTTTCCTAATGCTGCTTTGGCTTTGTTTAGTCGGTCCCTTACATGAATTTGTATCCCTGTTCTATTTATCATAAGTCCCAGTATTCTGCCTACCTCCGCATATTGGATCGGCTGGTTGTCAAGGATGATGGGGTCCGGGTTTCTTTTCGCAATGTGTATTATCTGAAACTTTTGTTTGTTGGTGCTAATTTTCCATTGCTTCTCAAAGTTGTTTATGAGTTCAATTGCCGCCTTGGTCTTGTCGGCTAGTAGCGGCTTTGATGGGCCCGGTTGGCAAATTATTTGGGTGACATCGTCAGCGTATGTGATGTATTCTCCATGTTGGGGTTGGGGTAGGTCAGCTGTATATATGTTGAATAGAGTGGGGGAGAGGCAGCTTCCTTGTGGTACTCCACTTTTCAGTTCTATTACGTCACCCAAGTAGCTGCCGATATTAAGCCTAGCAGTTCTATTGTCTATAAAGCTGCAGAGAGTAGCAGTAAATCTCTCAGGAAGCCCTAGTTCAGATATCTTATATTTTAGGCCTGTGTGCCACACTTTGTCGAAGGCTTTCGAGACGTCCCTAAGCACTATATTACACTGATCTTTTTTCGACACTGCGTTGGCTATATGCTCGTAGATCAGGGCTATAGCTGTATGGGCCCCTCTGCGGTTTCTAAACCCATGCTGCCTGGTGTTATACTTCCCTTCCTCTTCCATGTACTTCACAAGTCTCTGATTGATAATTTTTTCGAATATTTTACCTGGTACTTCGAGGAGGGAAATTGGCCTGTAGTTTTCAGTTTGGGTTGGGGGTTTACCTGGCTTGGGGATTAATCTTATTGTGGCATTCTTGAAGTATGTGGGGAATAGTCCAGATGCAAGAGCTGCATTTAAGATACATGTGTATTGATGGAGTGCAATCACTGGTAGGTTGGATAATACCATCTTATTTATTTTGCTGTTGCCCGGCGCCTTGTTCTTGAAACCCATAATTGTTTTATGGACCTCTGCAATGGTTGTGTGTTTCATAAGGTGGCAGTCATCGCGTATGTTGTTAAGGTCTATTGTTTGCGTCGGGAGTAGTGCTGCAGCTCTGTTATCGACTTGAGTTGTAATTTCCCTTTCATTAATTGGGCAAAAATTTAAATTTTCTTCCGGGTTTATCCTGAATATTTTTTCCCAGAACTTCCTGAATTCCTGCTCTTGTTCTCTCTCCTCATAGAGTTTATTTCCTGAGGCGTCTATGATGTAGGGTGTTTCCTCAGAAGAGCTTCCCATCAGGGTCTTTACTTTTTTCCAGAACTTCCCCGGGTTTCTGTAGTCGACTTGGATTTTGCTTATTAGGTCATCCCATTGTTTGGTGTACTCTGTTTTGCACAGATCTTGCAGCTCATCTTGAAGTTCCCTTTGTAGTCTTTTGCGCTCATCCGTCCACCCGTGTTGTGTTATGAGTTGTAGAAGATTGTTATATCTGGTTTGCAGTGTCCTGAGCGCCTCAGTGGCTGGGGTGTGTGGGAGCGTTATATGGTGAGCTACGGGGATGTGATCAGTCATGCATTTTTCTATGGTGTTAATCCATGTATTTAACTCGGCGTTTATGCATGACGTTTCCTTTCCTTTAAAATCTGTGACACTGATTTCCTGTGCACTGCTTTTGAACGCTTCCCAGTCAGTTTTAGTGTATTGAAGTCTTGGTGGTGAGGGTTTCTGAATGGGGTTAGTTGACAGCGTCATTATTATTGGTAGGTGGTCGCTTGTGCTCACAGGGCCCCTTTCTATGTGGGTGTTTAGGAAGTGGTGGTTGTTTGACAGTATTATGTCTGGTTTACCACTGTGGCCTTGTCTGACGTAAGTTGGGAAGTCTGGGCCCAGGTGGGTTAGATTTCCGTACCTTATCATATTGTGGATGGCTTCTCCTGCTTGGTTGTTCTTTCCATGTCCCAGTGTTGGAGTTCAATTGCCAGGAAATTTTCCTGGAAGTTATCTAGAATTTTGTGAGGAATATTTCTTTTAACGGCAATTGCCGCTCCATCGTTGGCCTGGTCAGCTCTGTTGACCTGATAAATTTTGTAATTGAAGATCTTGATCTTCTCGCTGTTCTTTTTTTCCGTGGCTGTTAATGAGTATTATATCAGGGTCTATTTCTCTGTACAAGTTGCTGAGTTCCAATGCTCTGTCACGTGAGCTCAACCAAATGTTGAGTTCACTGGACTTGAAACTTCCAAACTGCCTGAGAGTAGAACCTCCACCCGCATGATGCAAAGCTGAATACTGTTCACTGGTACACTCAGTGGTACAGCCAAGGCATTTGGAATTTTCAAGTATTTAAACCAAATAGCCTAGGGTTCCTGTGTGTCATGATAATGTTTTGAACACGAAAACATTCAGAATCTTCGTTTCATTTTGCTAAGTGGATATTAAGTGGATTTATGTATGTGCTTAATATGCATTATATATATATATATATATATATATATATATATATATATATATATATATATATATATATATATATATAAACATATATATAATATTAATAATAATAAGCACACAAGCACAGTTACAATTCACAGACGACTTACCAAAATAGGACTTGGCTATCAGGAGGAATAGGGAGGCCCTCTGACGGCTGCTCTTGGCGGCAGGAATACGACGCTCCCAGACGGAGACGGCCTCAGCGTGCTGCCCTCTGCTGGCCAGCGTCCTCCCCAGCGCCTCCACGGCCACGTGCTCCTCCTCGCCGTACTCGCTGTTGAAACAAGGGCCACAGGTAGTACTCTCATCCCATTTATATCTCTTGACTTGCTCTCTCGTGATAAGAGATGCCACTTTGGGTGTTACCTGTCACTATACAGATCTGTGAAATAGTATGCTCGTTCAAGGTTTTGAGGATAGATGTTTTGGGGTATCCTCTCCCAACCCTGTTTTTGTGAATGCTGTGGGGTAGGTGCCCCACATGGGCGGGTGGGATCCATTGCTCCCAGTACTCACAGCCGCCTCACAGACCGAACAACAGACCTCTCTGGCACTGGCCAGGTTCTTCTCATCTAAAAAAAAAGAACTCGTACTGTATGGTAAAGATTTCTCACCGATCTCGGCAAAATACAAAAAGATGTTCTTCATCCTTTTGTCTTTGGTATAGACAAAATCCAAAATTGTCTTTGGTATAGACAAAATGATGGCGGGTGTACCCGCTATTGGGTGACCCCGGGCCCCGCCGGGTACTCCATATAATGTAATACAAATACAACGAATACAAGTTGTAGTGTAAGATTCAGCAACACGGAACACAGTGTCCAAGTAGCAAGGGGGGGGGTGTACAGTGCTACGAGCTGAGAGATATATATGCATGAACTACAACAAAATAGCGAAAACAAGTAAATATGAATAAAATAGATTAGAAACAGAAAGTAAATATAATAGACACGATAGAAAGATTATATAGAAATATAGAAATGTTGATCATATTAATAATATATAAACTACCTATAGTCTAAGCTATATAAACTAAAGGACCCTCACTTCGGTACAACTACCCTCGCCTCGCCACCACAACCCTCGCCTCGCCACCACTACCCCTCGCCTCCCCACCACTACCCCTCGCCTCGCCACCACTACCCCTCGCCTCGCCACCACAACCCCTCGCCTCGCCACCACTACCCCTCGCCTCGCCACCACTACCCCTCGCCTCGCCACCACTACCCCTCGCCTCGCCACCACTACCCCTCGCCTCGCCACCACTACCCCTCGCCTCGCCACCACTACCCCTCGCCTCGCCACCACTACCCCTCGCCTCGCCACCACTACCCCTCGCCTCGCCACCACAACCCTCGCCTCGCCACCACTACCCCTCGCCTCGCCACCACTACCCCTCGCCTCGCCACCACTACCCCTCGCCTCGCCACCACTACCCTCGCCTCCCCACCACAACCCCTCGCCTCGCCACCACTACCCCTCGCCTCGCCACCACTACCCCTCGCCTCGCCACCACTACCCTCGCCTCGCCACCACTACCCCTCGCCTCCCCACCACTACCCCTCGCCTCGCCACCACTACCCCTCGCCTCGCCACCACTACCCCTCGCCTCGCCACCACTACCCCTCGCCTCGCCACCACTACCCCTCGCCTCGCCACCACTACCCCTCGCCTCGCCACCACTACCCCTCGCCTCGCCACCACTACCCCTCGCCTCCCCACCACTACCCCTCGCCTCGCCACCACTACCCTCGCCTCGCCACCACTACCCCTCGCCTCGCCACCACTACCCCTCGCCTCGCCACCACTACCCCTCGCCTCGCCACCACTACCCCTCGCCTCGCCACCACTACCCCTCGCCTCGCCACCACTACCCCTCGCCTCGCCACCACTACCCCTCGCCTCCCCACCACAACCCCTCGCCTCGCCACCACTACCCCTCGCCTCGCCACCACTACCCCTCGCCTCGCCACCACTACCCCTCGCCTCGCCACCACTACCCCTCGCCTCCCCACCACAACCCCTCGCTTCGCCACCACTACCCCTTCGCCTCGCCACCACTACCATCACCACTACCACCCTCGCCTCACCACCACCACCACCACCACCACCACCACCACCACCCTCGCCTCACCACCACCACCACCCTCGCCTCACCACCACCACCACCCTCGCCTCACCACCACCACCACCCTCGCCTCACCACCACCACCACCCTCGCCTCACCACCACCACCACCACCCTCGCCTCACCACCACCACCACCACCACCACCCTCGCCTCACCACCACCACCACCACCACCCTCGCCTCACCACCACCACCACCACCACCCTCGCCTCACCACCCTCGCCTCACCACCACCACCACCACCACCCTCGCCTCACCACCACCACCACCACCACCCTCGCCTCACCACCACCACCACCACCACCCTCGCCTCACCACCACCACCACCACCCTCGCCTCACCACCACCACCACCACCCTCGCCTCACCACCACCACCACCACCACCACCACCACCCTCGCCTCACCACCACCACCACCACCCTCGCCTCACCACCACCACCACCACCCTCGCCTCACCACCACCACCACCACCCTCGCCTCACCACCACCACCACCACCACCACCCTCGCCTCACCACCACCACCACCACCACCACCCTCGCCTCACCACCACCACCACCACCACCACCCTCGCCTCACCACCACCACCACCACCACCACCCTCGCCTCACCACCACCACCACCACCACCACCCTCGCCTCACCACCACCACCACCACCACCACCCTCGCCTCACCACCACCACCACCACCACCCTCGCCTCACCACCACCACCACCACCACCCTCGCCTCACCACCACCACCACCACCACCCTCGCCTCACCACCACCACCACCACCCTCGCCTCACCACCACCACCACCACCCTCGCCTCACCACCACCACCACCACCCTCGCCTCACCACCACCACCACCACCACCACCACCACCACCACCCTCGCCTCACCACCACCACCACCCTCGCCTCACCACCACCACCACCACCACCACCCTCGCCTCACCACCACCACCACCACCACCACCCTCGCCTCACCACCACCACCACCACCACCACCCTCGCCTCACCACCACCACCACCACCACCACCACCACCACCACCCTCGCCTCACCACCACCACCACCACCACCACCACCACCACCACCCTCGCCTCACCACCACCACCCTCGCCTCACCACCACCACCACCACCACCACCACCCTCGTCTCACCACCACCACCACCACCACCCTCGTCTCACCACCACCACCACCACCACCCTCGTCTCACCACCACCACCACCACCACCCTCGCCTCACCACCACCACCACCACCACCCTCGCCTCACCACCACCACCACCACCACCCTCGCCTCACCACCACCACCACCACCACCCTCGCCTCACCACCACCACCACCCTCGCCTCACCACCACCACCACCCTCGCCTCACCACCACCACCACCACCACCCTCGCCTCACCACCACCACCACCACCACCCTCGCCTCACCACCACCACCACCACCCTCGCCTCACCACCACCACCACCACCACCACCCTCGCCTCACCACCACCACCACCACCACCACCCTCGCCTCACCACCACCACCACCACCACCACCCTCGCCTCACCACCACCACCACCCTCGCCTCACCACCACCACCACCACCACCACCACCACCCTCGCCTCACCACCACCACCACCACCACCACCCTCGCCTCACCACCACCACCCTCGCCTCACCACCACCACCACCACCACCACCACCACCCTCGCCTCACCACCACCACCACCACCACCACCCTCGCCTCACCACCACCACCCTCGCCTCACCACCACCACCACCACCACCACCCTCGCCTCACCACCACCACCACCACCACCACCCTCGCCTCACCACCACCACCACCACCACCACCACCCTCGCCTCACCACCACCACCACCACCACCACCACCCTCGCCTCACCACCACCACCACCACCACCACCACCCTCGCCTCACCACCACCACCACCACCACCACCACCCTCGCCTCACCACCACCACCACCACCACCACCACCCTCGCCTCACCACCACCACCACCACCACCCTCGCCTCACCACCACCACCACCACCACCACCACCCTCGCCTCACCACCACCACCACCCTCCACAGGATCGCGCGCGTTGAGCCGTTTTCCTTAATTACCAGCGAACCAAACAAGGCTATTTGTAGGATAAATGAAAAATTTAACTTTTAATTGCGATGAAACTGAAGGCCAGGAGTATGAGGAGGAGTATGAGGGGGAGTATGAGGAGTTTGAAGGGGAGTATGAGGAGTATAAGTATAAGGGGGAGTATGAGGAGGAGAATTATGTATAATAGTTGGAGTAGGAAGAAGTGGAGGAAGCGTTGACTGAGCAACACACACACACACAGATAAAGACAGTCTAGATAAAGATAAATGGTAGATAAAGACAGTCTATTTAACACAAGGGGAACACGCACAAGGGGACACAGGTGGAAACTGAGTGCCCAAATGAGCCACAGAGATATTAGAAAGAACTTTTTTAGTGTCAGAGTGGTTGACAAATGGAATGCATTAGGAAGTGATGTGGTGGAGGCTGACTCCATACACAGTTTCAAGTGTAGATATGACAGAGCCCGATAGGCTCATGAATCTGTACACCTGTTGATTGACGGTTGAGAGGCGGGACCAAAGAGCCAGAGCTCAACCCCCGCAAACACAACTAGGTGAGTACAACTAGGTGAGTACAACTAGGTGAGTACACACACACACACACACACACACACACACACACACACACACACACACACACACACACACACACACACACACACACACACACGCGCACGCGCGCACACACACACGCGCACGCGCGCACACACACACACACACGCACACACACGCACACACACACACACACACACACACACACACTTTTAGAATTCTATGATAAAGTAACAAGGATAAGGCAGGACAGAGAAGGCTGGGCAGACTGCATATTTCTTGACTGCCAATAGGCCTTTGATACAGTACCGCACATGAGACTGCTGTACAAACTTGAGAGGCAGGCAGGAGTAAGCGGAAAGGCCCTAGCATGGGTGAGGAACTACCTAACAGGAAGGAGCCAGAGGGTAATGGTAAGGGGCGAGAAGTCGGACTGGCGAACAGTAACAAGTGGAGTACCTCAAGGATCGGTGCTGGGACCAATCCTCTTTCTAATTTACGTAAATGATATGTTTACAGGAGTGGAATCATACATGTCTATGTTTGCGGATGACGCAAAATTAATGAGATGAGTTGTGACAGACGAGGATTGTAGGATCCCCCAAGAGGACTTAAACAGGTTGCAGAGATGGTCAGGGAAATGGCTACTGGAGTTCAACACCAATAAATGTAAAGTTATGGAAATGGGATCAGGTGATAGGAGACCAAAGGGACAGTACGCAATGAAGGGGAACTGCCTACCTGTAACGATTCGAGAAAGAGACCTGGGAGTGGATGTGACACCTAATCTAACTCCTGAGGCACATATAAATAGGATAACGACAGCAGCGTACTCTACACTGGCGAAAATTAGAACTTCATTCAGAAACCTAAATGAGGAGGCTTTTAGGGCGCGTTACACTGCCTACGTGAGACCCGTCTTAGAGTATGCCGCGCCATCATGGAGCCCCCACCTGAAGAAACACATAAGGAAACTGGAGAAGGTTCAGAGGTTTGCGACGAGGCTTGTCCCAGAGTTACGAGGGATGGGATATGAAGAGCGTCTGAAGGAACTGAACCTTACGACACTAGAGTAAAGAAGGGAGAGAGGAGATATGATAGGGACATATAAAATACTCAGGGGAATTGACAAAGTGGAAATAGATGAAATGTTCGCACGTAATAATAACAGAACGAGGGGACATGGGTGGAAACTGGAAACTCAGATGGGTCACAGAGATGTTAGGAAGTTTTCTTTTAGCGTGAGAGTAGTGGAAAAATGGAATGCACTTAAGGAGCAGGTTGCGGAAGCAAATACTATTCATAATTTTAAAACTAGGTATGATAGGGAAATAGGACAGGAGTCATTGCTGTAAACAACCGATGGCTGGAGAGGCGGGATCCAAGAATCAGTGCGCGATCCTGCAGGCACAAATAGGTGAATACACAAACACACACACACACACACACACACACACACACACACACACACACACACACACACACACACACACACACACACCTACCTGGCCCGGGCAATGTGTACGGCGTCGGTGAGGACGGCGATGGCGTCGTCGTGACGGTCGGAGCGAGGTAGGGCGACGCCCACGCCCACCAGGAGGCGACACAGCAGGCGCCCGCCCACGCCCGCGCCCTTCACCTCCGCCAGCAGCTCCTCCGCCTCCCGCAACACCGCCTCCACGTCTGCGGGAACATGGCTGTTAGCTGTTACAGAGCTGGTTCAGTAGTTACCAGCCGTTGTGCGGATGGTTCTGTTAAGAGTATGGATGGTTAAGAAGGTTAACAGTGTAGTTATGTTACTCCCCTCCCCCCCCCCCCTCCCCCCGCGCCTCTCCGTAATTTACGTAGGAAATAACTTTAACTTTAATTATGTATTATTAAATTAAAACTTGATGAGTTACCCTCAGTTTAAGCTCGTAACATATTGATGCATAATGATAACTGCACAGTAACTTAGGCGCCACCGCCTCGGGCCAGGCCACGCCCTAACCTCACACCACGGTAAGCACTTCGAAGATTGAAATGATGTCTTAATTATAACTTAATAAAACCAGGGTTGGAATCAATCAACCAGGTCTTATAAATCCAACCGGACCAACATTGTTGATCCACATTCATCAACAGAAGGAGCTTCTTGCTTCGAATGTGGAACATCAGAGTCTGTCCTCTCTCTCTCCCGCTGGAGGTGCTAGAGGAGCGCTGGACGCCATCACTCGTCGTCGCCCTCACAGAGGGAACAAACCCTCGCGTATTGAACGAGTTACGCCGCTGATGAGTGTTCACTGTTCACTGTCCATGTTCAACATAAACCAACTTCGACTTTAGTGAGAGCATATACCCTGTGGACCCTGTGTACTGGGTACCCTGTGAACAGGGTACCCTGTGTACAGGGTACCCTGTGTACAGGGTACCCTGTGTACAGGGTACCCTGTGTGCCCTGCACCTGGGTGTAGAGGAGGGCTCCCACCTGACTGATGCTGGTCCAGGGGGATGGGGGGGTATGTTCCCACCAGAGTATTACTAGAATTACGAGAGATGTAGGTAATATTCTCTATTGAATTAGTTTTTTCTTCTGTTTATCCTTGAAAAATATTTGCGGTATTGTTTGGAAGAATAAGGAATAACGTCCCTCCTCAACCTCCTCCTCCTCTACAACTACTACTACTAGTAATACTACTACAACTCTACTCCTCTTCCTCCTCCTACTACTACCTGCTCCTACTACTACTCTACTCCTACTACTACTTCTTGTTCTTCTATTACTAGAAGTAGTAGTGGTAGACAGAGACAGGACAGACAAAATCAAACGGAGATAAAGAGAGGAAGAGAGAGAATGAAGTTCGACTCTTCAATGACAATAAAGAGCCGCGTGCTTAACCTTACCCATAAAAGCAGTTAGTAAACTTTCAGCCCTACAGCACACCACACACCTTGAGAGCAAGGGCCGCACCTTATATGAAGAACAAGTTCGCTCTCATCTAGAGTATGCACCCCTCTCCTGGATCGCCTGCCCCCCTCCCATCATTAATGAAACTTTTGAACAAACTGGAGAGCTTTGCAAGAAGGCTTATCTCTAGCCTTGACCAAGTCTGGTGGGAACGGTCTGAACATCAGAGCTTGCAACACCGTCGTGACGTTGGTGGACGTACTGTTGTGTACAAGGCCAACATTGTCAAAGTTCCGTACCTGGCCCAACTCTGAGGACAACCAGTAGTTGGCACCCGTAACACTAAGCTCTCAACATTAAGAGTCTCATGCTGAAACAAACTTTATAAAGAACATCACTCCATCAGCGATCATTCATTCCTAGGCTGACTCGCGTCTGGAACGTGTTCGCTCAACAGGTTGATACATGGGAGATCAGGTCAATTGATCACATAAAGGAAGCCTTAATCATAGACAGTTTTATAGTTAAGGCTTCTTTGACCATCGAAGTGTCCTCAGTACAGCACTCCACACACACAGGACATCCTGGGGAACGATATCACTAGGGACAGCTGACCACTGGTACACCGACGCCACTGACGAGACGAGACGAGGAAACTGCCCCACGACGCCATTCACGGCTAATTCGGGACACGCACCATGTACCACCACCTTCAGTAATCCTGATAAGCTTCCACGACCAATCACAGGGTCTACCACACCTTGCACCAGGTTTTACCTCAACAGTCACGACATCTTGCATGACTGTATCACCACCAACTATATCCACCATGCCCGAGTTTGCCCGAGCAGCATCAACGTCGCGATCAGTGCCACACGGCGCCAGCGATTCTCGCAGGGAACTCTTGGGTCCGCCGAAGCGAATCTCCTCAACGGAGGCGCATAGGACCCCATACATATGCTGCCCCGTGCATCAAGCATGGCACAAGCGGCGAGACACCACGCCGGAAACAGCCGGGTCACTCCAAAAACTAACAGCAACTGGACGGTGTCACGATCAACTTTGCTCTTAACTTTATAAATGAATTTATGTAGATGACATCAGAAGCTATTTGCCCAGAGAAACGGCCAGTTTTCGTAAACATTACCTCTCAAGATATACACTTGCTGAGAGGGTCAGTGAATTGTACGTTATTAGAGAATATTAAGTCGACTGATACTGCAAGTAAGTCTTTAACTACCTTTTCTACTGCAACTGACGAAAGTTCATATGGAACTGCTACAACACAGCTTGTAATTTGTGTATGTAGGACTGATAAAAGTATGCAGGTAACAGAAGAATTTGTGGAATTAATGCCAATACTTGGAACAACAGACGATGACATCTTAGTGAGCTTATTACGAGTTCAGGATTAATTGAACAAAAGCTCCGAGTCTGGCTATACATGAAGCATGCAGATGACGGGTAGAAAAGCTGGTTTGGTTACTAAATTGAAGGAAATCGGCTTGCTGAGAACGCAAAAAATAAATTTCTCAATTTACATTACATTATTCATAGAGAAGTGATTTGAAATAAATTATTATTACTGGATTATATAAAGGCTGTCGTCATGAGGGCAGTGAACTTCACACGAGCACCAAGTCTCAATCATGGACAGTCCAGCAGATTTTTTCTTAATGTGATTCTGTCTTGAGGGAAACGTTTTTGAGTGTTGGTGTATTTGAGAAGAATCCGGACCAAAATTATCCCAGGATCAAGTATTTTACTTCAAAGATTATGTCCATTAAATGAACAAATCCACAAGGGCCGTGATGAGGGTTCGGAATGATCCCAGACGCGCCTTAGTCGATTTCGCAACGACATGGTCAAAAGAATTGCAACCGGGAGTGCTACTGCCCTCACACGGATCCCGCAGCCTCTCCGAGACACAGACCGGGGTTTTACACAATTCTCTCATCACGGCCCTTGTGGATTTGTTCATTAGATGTATGACGCTATTGCGATTTCTGTGTGTATTGAAGTAAGGGCGAAGAGGTAGAACAGCTTGTTGACAGAGCCCGGGTGGATGGGGGGAATTGTGTAAAACCCTGGTTTGTGTCTCGGAGAGACTGCGGGATCCGTGTGAGGGCAGTAGCACTCCCGGTTGCAATTCTTTTGACCATGTCGTTGCGAAATCGACTAAGGCGTGTCTGGGAACATCCTGGACGTAGGTTCGAACCCCCATCACGGCCCTTGTGGATTTGTTCATTTGATGCATCACGCTATTGTGATTTCTGTGTGTATTATGCCCATGTTTGAGAGCACATATCTGTGAACATATTTTTCTAGAAAGAATCTTAAAAATCTCAGATCAATTATCAACTTACTGAAGCACACCTGAATTCAGTATTCAAGTGTGCTCAAGGTCGGCCATTCGTCATCAACATGAGGCAGTGCACCTGCCCACCAGGTGGCAGGTGTCAAGAAATAGCGGTGCTCAGCAATAACGTAAATGTTAGTTACCTTATAACTATTGCCAGATATACTGAGAGACAGAAACTTATCAACACGTGTGGACACACTTCCTCTGGTCCTCATTATATCCATTAACTGTGGTTGTCACCTCACTTCCTGTCTTGTTACCTCAGTAACAGCTTCTCTCCCATTGGTATTTACTCCGATAACTCACTGAGACTTTAATTTAGGTCCTCTCAAATATCTTCCAGCCACTTGGACTGCTCAGTAGAGCGGCGGTCTCGCTTCTTGTTAGTCAGAGTTCGATCCCCAGTGATCCAAGAGGATGGGCACAGTTCCTTCATTCCTTCCTCCTATCTCATTTCCTACTCCTAATATCCCTTCCAAGTGCGGTATATTCATACTGGGTTAGCGTCCCCTCGTGATCTATCTTTGTCATTGTTCAGTCTAAATATTTAGTCGTTCACTATCACTTGCCACTCAACACAGCCAAGACTATTTCTTGGCTTCAGCAGCAACGTACATTCACAGTTGGTGAAACTGTTCAGGTCTCGTGTCCCCTGGCACTGTTGTCAGGGCTCGTGTCCCCTGGCACTGTTGTCAGGTGCTCGTGTCCCCTGGCCCTGTTGCCAAGGCTCGTGTCCCCTGGCACTGTTGCCAGGGCTCGTGTCCCCTGGCACTGTTGCCAGGGCTCGTGTCCCCTGGCACTGTTGCCAGGGCTCGTGTCCCATGGCACTGTTGCCAGGTGCTCGTGTCCCCTGGCACTGTTGCCAGGTGCTCGTGTCCCCTGTCACTGTTGCCAGGTGCTCGTGTCCCCTGGCACTGTTGTCAGGTGCTCGTGTCCCCTGGCACTGTTGTCAGGCGCTCGTGTCTCCTGGCACTGTTGCCAGGTGCTCGTGTCCCCTGGCACTGTTGCCAGGTCCTCGTGTCCCCCTGGCACTGTTGCCAGGTGCTCGTGTCCCCTGGCACTGTTGCCAGGTGCTCGTGTCCCCTGGCCCTGTTGCCAAGGCTCGTGTCCCCTGGCACTGTTGTCAGGTGCTCGTGTCCCCTGGCCCTGTTGCCAAGGCTCGTGTCCCCTGGCACTGTTGCCAAGGCTCGTGTCCCCTGGCACTGTTGTCAGGTGCTCGTGTCCCCCTGGCACTGTTGCCAGGTGCTCGTGTCCCCTGGCACTGTTGCCAGGTGCTCGTGTCCCCTGGCCCTGTTGCCAAGGCTCGTGTCCCCTGGCACTGTTGTCAGGTGCTCGTGTCCCCTGGCCCTGTTGCCAAGGCTCGTGTCCCCTGGCACTGTTGCCAGGGCTCGTGTCCCCTGGCACTGTTGTCAGGTGCTCGTGTCCCCCTGGCACTGTTGCCAGGTGCTCGTGTCCCCCTGGCACTGTTGCCAGGTGCTCGTGTCCCCTGGCACTGTTGTCAGGTGCTCGTGTCCCCTGGCCCTGTTGCCAAGGTTCGTGTCCCCTGGCACTGTTGTCAGGTGCTCGTGTCCCCTGGCCCTGTTGCCAAGGCTCGTGTCCCCTGGCACTGTTGCCAGGGCTCGTGTCCCCTGGCACTGTTGCCAGGGCTCGTGTCCCCCTGGCACTGTTGTCAGGTGCTCGTGTCCCCCTGCCACTGTTGCCAGGTGCTCGTGTCCCCTGGCACTGTTGTCAGGTGCTCGTGTCCCCTGGCACTGTTGTCAGGTGCTCGTGTCCCCTGGCACTGTTGTCAGGTGCTCGTGTCCCCTGGCACTGTTGTCAGGTGCTCGTGTCCCCTGGCACTGTTGTCAGGTGCTCGTGTCCCCTGGCACTGTTGTCAGGTGCTCGTGTCCCCTGGCACTGTTGCCAGGTGCTCGTGTCCCCTGGCACTGTTGCCAGGTGCTCGTGTCCCCTGGCACTGTTGCCAGGTGCTCGTGTCCCCTGGCACTGTTGCCAGGTGCTCGTGTCCCCTGGCACTGTTGCCAGGTGCTCGTGTCTCCTGGCACTGTTGCCAGGTGCTCGTGTCCCCTGGCACTGTTGCCAGGTGCTCGTGTCCCCTGGCACTGTTGCCAGGTGCTCGTGTCCCCTGGCACTGTTGCCAGGTGCTCGTGTCCCCTGGCACTGTTGCCAGGTGCTCGTGTCCCCTGGCACTGTTGCCAGGTGCTCGTGTCCCCTGGCACTGTTGCCAGGTGCTCGTGTCCCCTGGCACTGTTGCCAGGTGCTCGTGTCCCCTGGCACTGTTGCCAGGTGCTCGTGTCCCCTGGCACTGTTGTCAGGTGCTCGTGTCCCCTGGCACTGTTGCCAGGTGCTCGTGTCCCCTGGCACTGTTGCCAGGTGCTCGTGTCCCCTGGCACTGTTGTCAGGTGCTCGTGTCCCCTGGCACTGTTGTCAGGTGCTCGTGTCCCCTGGCACTGTTGTCAGGTGCTCGTGTCCCCTGGCACTGTTGCCAGGTGCTCGTGTCCCCTGGCACTGTTGCCAGGTGCTCGTGTCCCCTGGCACTGTTGCCAGGTGCTCGTGTCCCCTGGCACTGTTGCCAGGTGCTCGTGTCCCCTGGCACTGTTGTCAGGTGCTCGTGTCCCCCTGGCACTGTTGCCAGGTGCTCGTGTCCCCCTGGCACTGTTGTCAGGTGCTCGTGTCCCCCTGGCACTGTTGCCAGGTGCTCGTGTCCCCTGGCACTGTTGCCAGGTCTCGTGTCCCTGGCACTGTTGCCAGGTCTCGTGTCCCTGGCACTGTTGCCAGGTCTCGTGTCCCTGGCACTGTTGCCAGGTCTCGTGTCCCTGGCACTGTTGCCAGGTCTCGTGTCCCTGGCACTGTTGTCAGATGCTCGTGTCCCCCTGGCACTGTTGCCAGGTCTCGTGTCCCCCTGGCACTGTTGCCAGGTCTCGTGTCCCTGGCACTGTTGCCAGGTGCTCGTGTCCCCCTGGCACTGTTGTCAGGTGCTCGTGTCCCCCTGGCACTGTTGTCAGGTGCTCGTGTCCCCTGGCACTGTTGTCAGGTGCTCGTGTCCCCTGGCACTGTTGTCAGGTGCTCGTGTCCCCTGGCACTGTTGCCAGGTGCTCGTGTCCCCCTGGCACTGTTGCCAGGTGCTCGTGTCCCCTGGCACTGTTGCCAGGTGCTCGTGTCCCCCTGGCACTGTTGTCAGGTCTCGTGTCCCTGGCACTGTTGCCAGGTGTTCGTGTCCCTGGCACTGTTGTCAGGTCTCGTTACGTTACTGAACTGTCTTCTCTGTGTTTTCTCTGCTACATTATTCTGTCTTCTTCTTGGCTGTGTGTGTGTGTGTGTGTGTGTGTGTGTGTGTGTGTGTGTGTGTGTGTGTGTGCAGTACCTAAGAATTAATGAGAAAGTTAGCAGCGTGGGAGAGAGGACTGGAGGTAAACAGATACTGGAAACAGGTGGACCACGTCGCTTCCCTAATCCCTTCAGCTTCAAGTCACTCCCACCACTGTAGACAACTTTCCCTCCCTCCCTCCTTCCCTCCCTCCCTCCCTAACCCCCTCCCCCCTCACCTGTCTCCTGCTGCAGCTGC